ACGGACCGGAACACCCGTATCGAACGTAATCGCGGCCCAGGTAGGACATAGTATAATATACACTAAACCCGAGTCGTAAATGTTTAGATATCAACATATTTAATCTTTTTATGGAGTGATACTCCTCGCAAAGTATCTGCCCTATATATGTATCATGTCTATACTCCACCACCGCAAATATGTTTGAAGAATTTTCGCTGTATACCTGTTAAGAAAAGTTTCCATATTATTATGACCACTTATACGACTAGTCTTAAAGCGCAAGATTTATTTGTAAAATCATTATTTTCATAACACAATACCTGTTGAGTAGAATGGATATAAATTTCCTTAATGAGACCAGGTATGCATGAAACAAGCACCGCAAAGATAGCAACACTGGAATGTGGCCAGGCTACCTTAGCACAAGTACTATTCAGCAAACAAATCGGAGACTGTAACACTGGGTGTGGATTGAATCATATCCAAACAAATACATTGTGTTCGCTATTAAACTGTAACTTTACTGCTAAATTATGACATAAATTGTATGAGTGACTATGTAATTACTTGAACATATCAATAAATGTGTATGTAAAGATGATTTTAGTTCATGAAAATACGGATTATGAAGCACTAGTAAAACATTGTGTTCGCTATTAAACTGTAACTTTACTGCTAAATTATGACATAAATTGTATGAGTGACTAGTATTGTAACTACTTGAACAATATATCAATTATTGTATATGTAAAGATGATTTTAGTTCATGAAATGATAATACAATACGGATTATGAAGCACTAGTAAAACATTGTGTTCACTATTAAACTGTAACTTAACTGGTAAATTATGACATAAATTGTATGAGTGACTTAGTATTGTAACTACTTGAACAACGTATCAATAAATTATGTTAAGATGATTTTACTTCATGAAATGATTACAATACGGATTATGAAGCACTAGTATTTTGTTTCCTAAATACAAATGTCAAGAATTGATACCTCATAGTACAAGTTTAAGTATTTTCATAGTAAATGTCAATGACACATAGAAGGCTAGAAAGTTAACAAGAAATATATTTTGTTTATAATCACCACCTTCAAGTTTATATTAGTGGTAGAATTTCACTCAGTCTTGAATTTATGCAAGTCAATAATTATTAAAGGTATCCAACTCAATGTTCCTTCCTATTATCAGAATACATTTTATTTCAGGGTTTGTTTAGGATAAAAAGTTTGTATCACGTTACAAGTTTTTGTAATTTTAGACCGTACACTTGAAGTTGTCGGACTCAAGGTATCAAGGTTTTAACTTAATATGTAGACCTTCAAATTGGTGCCTCGTTGCACTTTCATGTGCTACATTCAAAGACGATAGTTTAAAACGATTTAACCTCAAGAAAACCACAAAAACACGTACCTTCTTGCCTCGCCATGTTGTACAGTTCCCGCGAGGACAATGATGTTTTTTTACAAAATCAACAAATCGTCATTCAGTCCCTCGAGCTATCGAGCCCCGTGGAAAATAAACTCTCAACTTTCCCCGCCAATTTTGAAAACTCCCAGGGTCTTTCTTTGCGTGAAACGACGCTAATTCAGCCTATAATCCTTCCACGAACATCTTGGCAGCAGTTGCGAGTCTTCTGGTGGTAAAATGACCGAGTTTTGGTGGAGAATTTTGCGTACAAGAACAGACAAGTCGGGCATGTGCGGCCATCATGTGTGAAATTGACACTTGCTTGGCAACACTAACCAGTGGAGAAATCTATCAGGCCATACCACTTCGCAAAAATAGGGGCGTTCTGGCAAGAACCTTAAAACATGCTATCATTTTATTCACCCAAACCAGCCAATCCTTGCCATATTTCAACAGATTAATATCTTTACCAATATAATTATTAAATCAAGACAATTCAGTAAGATAATTACGGTAAAATCAAAGTAGCTTTTATGTCACAAAATAAAGCACCCCCCTAAAAAGTGGAAACGGCAGGTCTTTACACCTCACTAACAACAATGAATAGCAACTACCTGTTGAATGTAGCGGACGGGCTATTGTTCGTGTGAAAGCGGAGCCTTCACGGGGTACAGAGCCTGACAGGTGTAGTATAGGTTATATAAACAACTAACGGGACCAGGCTCGGACGCACAACAATCCAAAAGAATTCATCTAATTGAGTTCAAAAGACTCGATCGATGCTATGGACAGATTCATATGTATTCAAATGCAGCAACTCTTACAATGCAAAAATAGATAAATGCATTTCTTTATTACAATGAAAACATTCATTTTCGTCAGAAACAATAAAATCACATCACCAATATTAGACCATGGAGCTAGAAAAGCGAGTCTTTTAACTCCATGATTAAACCAATTATCAAACTAGAAAGGCCAATATTTGCTTTGGAGCAAATATAGCGATGGGTTCACCACATTTTACGACATGGCAGGGAAAGAATGAGAAACACAAGGGAAAACAATGATTTACATTGATATAACTATAATATGAAGTAACATACAACTAAAACAACAGTTGGATAGCTATTCCCTACTTTATTGGTTAGGATTTTTAATTGCATAATGCAAACTGTTGAATTTAAAAAAAAAAAAAAAAAACGTTCATGCCCCGCATTCCAATGCTGGATTCGAGCAGAAAAGCTTGAAATACCTACCAAAACACTTGAATAAAGACATACTGTCAGTATGGAAATGCTCTGTGCAGGTGTTAATCAAGTTAAATCCCAACAGCCAATCAGCAAGAAATGCTCTGTGCAGGTGGAAATGCTCTGTGCAGGTGTTAATCAAGTTAAATCCCAACAGCCAATCAGCAAGAAGTATAGAGGAGAGCTGCATGCCTATTGGTTGATGCCCTGCATTCCATTGTGATGACTCATGCCCAAACGTGGTAAACACGGCACACTAACACAGTAATACATTTGCTATAACACAGCCAAAAAACTCAAATAAAACCATTCTAAAAGCCTGTATCACAATAATTTAAAAAAACGCCTAGGGGTATTTGCCCACTGTACCTCCATACCAAATTTCAGGACCTTGGGCCCTAAAATGAAGAAGCTGAATCCATTTAAAAAATGGCAGGAGAAGGAGGAGAAGGAGAAGGAGGAGAAGAAACATCAGAAACTAGAAAGGCCAATATTTGCTTTGGAGCAAATACAGCGATGGGTTCACCACATTTTACCACATGGCAGGGAAAGAATGAGAAACACAAGGGAAAACAATGATTTACATTGATATAACTATAATATGAAGTAACATACAACTAAACAACAGTTGGATAGCTATTCCCTACTTTATTGGTTTAGGATTTTTAATTGTCATAATAGCAAACTGTTGATTTTCAAAATAATAAAAAAACGTTCATGCCCCGCATTCCAATGCTGGAGCAGAAAAGCTTGAAATACCTACCAAAACACTTGAATACAGACATACTGTCAGTATGGAAATGCTCTGTGCAGGTGTTAATCAAGTTAAATCCCAACAGCCAATCAGCAAGAAATGCTCTGTGCGGGTGGAAATGCTCTGTGCAGGTGTTAATCAAGTTAAATCCCAACAGCCAATCAGCAAGAAGTATAGAGGAGAGCTGCATGCCTATTGGTTGATGCCCTGCATTCCATTGTGATGACCCATGCCCATACGTGGTTAACAAGGCACACTAACACAGTAATACATTTGCTATAACACAGCCAAAGAACTCAAATAAAACCATTCTAAAAGCCTGTATCACAATAATTTAAAAAACGCCTAGGGGTATTTGCCCACTGTACCTCCATACCAAATTTCAGGACCTTGGGCCCTAAAATGAAGAAGCTGAATCCATTTAAAAAATGGCAGGAGAAGGAGGAGAAGGAGAAGGAGGAGAAGAAACATCAGAAACTAGAAAGGCCAATATTTGCTTTGGAGCAAATACAGCGATGGGTTCACCACATTTTACCACATGGCAGGGAAAGAATGAGAAACACAAGGGAAAACAATGATTTACATTGATATAACTATAATATGAAGTAACATACAACTAAAACAACAGTTGGATAGCTATTCCCTACTTTATTGGTTAGGATTTTTAATTGCATAATGCAAACTGTTGAATTTAAAAAAAAAAGCAATATGGGTTCACCACCACTTCGTGGTGTGGTGAACCAAGGAGCTTTCATCGAAAGCTCCTTGGGTGAACCCATAATTATTTTATGGTAGGAACGCGACTAACAGCGCCCTACCTGTGATAGCGATTGACAACGGCATTGCAGCTGGAGATCCTGCTTGACCGTATAATCAAAATTATGAAGTTCGACCACGCTTAGGCCACAGCAAGTAATATGGTTTGAAAAAAAAATTACTTGCTGTGGCCGACTTGACTTGAAAATCCACTTTTATTTTATTGCCCTAAAATCGCCTTGGGTACCTTTTAAAAGGCCTAGTGGAGGCTAGTACGCTCACCGGGCCTTACCCATCAGTCCCCCACCCCCACATCAAGACGTACCATTTCAAACATACACAAACACGCTTCAGATGCACCTTATTTATAGGCGTCTTGTCGATAAACGAAGAACAACATTCCATCCGCCCGCGCCTCGAGCCAGCGCGCCAGATAAGGCAAGGAACTGCGGACGGAGGGTCTGCATGTCGTTTTCCGTGAGGCGTATGCAACCTTTTTTATTTCCCCACATTGACGATAAAATACTTTTTATTACCGTAATTTGCGTAGCGAGTGGGCAAATTTTTTGTGACGGTCCTCCTTAATTTAGTGTTATTCAGGGTCTCCCCAGAAATTGTGAATTCATAATAGGGGAGAGGTGCTCCCTAAATAAAAAAAAAAAATTGAGTGAATTTTCATGAAAACACCAAGAGAATACCCAAAATTTCAAAACTTTGGGAAAAGTGCTAGGATTTTGGGGAGAGGAGACGCACCCTTGCTTCATTGGAGAGCCATAGTGATTCCTATGAAGTAGCACCACAAGACCCCCATGTAGACCCTCCAGTTTTGGGGTCGTCCACAGATTGATACCAGAGTTTAAGGTTGACTTTGCAGTCCGGATAAGGAAGCAGACCGCTCGTCTTGCCCTTGTGTTATTAGCCTGTCTGAGCCCGATATTTGCTCGGAGTATCGTACGTTTCAAAGCGGGTTAGCCAGCCATGCAGTTGCGGGTCGGCGTGGTGGTGGGCCTGCTAGCGGTCGCACTGCGATGTCCTGTCGGGATGGGGCAGTTCCCGTGCCCGAAGAGTTTCTACCGGTGTGCCGACGGGTACTGTCTGGAGAGAGCGCGGCTGTGTGACGGGGTGGCCCACTGTCGGGACCGATCGGACGAGAGAGACTGCCCCAGTATGTAATCATCTATTATCCTAGATAGCAATGTCTAGAGTTAGATGTTCAAGGGTTAGGTGGCTGTAGCCAGCTGCCGCCGCGCCGCGTGCCTGCAAATCTGGTGATGATTATACTGGCTATACAGAAACAGATCCTGTATTTGGTCTAGATCTATCAATTGCAGACTGGTCCAATATAGTCTGATATTGAAATTTATAGTGTAATACATCTGAACATTTGGTATATTTGTAAACTCGACACAATTCAGATGTTCATATACTTCTGCCATGTTGATTATATATTAATAGAATTGAAATTGAAAATTTACTGCATTTTCGTTATCATTTCATACTTAAAGCGTTTGAAATAGCCCCAAAACAGCCAGCATCTCTTTATTTCTTTTTCGGGTACCACCCATAAATAGCTAGAACGTTAACATGGTAAGATACGAAACAAGGAACCGTCTTCTGCCAGCGACATCGCATTTTTGCCTCACAAATATCATGCTATTGAATAGGGTTAATTCAACTTCCTAAATTAAAAGAATGACGACAAAATTGACTTTAAAAATCCAGTTTTACTGCACAAAACTCTTTCTGTGCCTTTTATAAATTATTAGAAGTTTATTGCAATTCCATGCCCGAAGGCTAATTGCAAGTTACAAACATAAAAGAATTCTGAAACAGAGTATAAAATAACTTTAAATGTACATAATGAAATCTACTTGTCAAAAAATATTGCTATGTCTAAAACTATGTCTGAAGGGTTTGACTTCTCTTCTGTAAACCATGGAAGAAGTAATGTCCCACCTTTAATATTTCTAAAATTAGTGGGTTTTGGGAAGTCGCCCAAGCAGCCGTATATAGCTGAGATAGGCTGTCAACTGAGGATTAGGGCACCCAAACCCAATCTTTTGTATCGCATACCAGGATAGGGACGCTTAAATTGGTTAAATCCAATGATGACAGAGGGTAGTCCTCAGCTGTGGCACCTTATTTTGGAAGCCAGACTGTTTTCAGGACCTACACAGGTCCGTTCCTCGGCCCCAAGGCTAACATTTCCCCGAAGAATTTGGGGTCTTACTCAGGGGGCTAAGGCAAAGTTTCCTTGGAGGCATGTTGGCCCTGTACTAGCCGAGGGGCTGGCCTTTGGCTTTGATTGAAGCTGTCTGCATCTCATCGTATCGTCCTAGCCTAATATTCCTGTCCCATACCAACAGAGATGTTTAGATTGCGTAAATCCTTGGGTGACATTTCGTCGTACGGTCCGGCAAATCAAGGATCCGCCGGTAGCCAGGATTTTGAAGGGGGGTTCTTCCCACTGCTTGATCGAGGGGACCTCGAGCGCCGTAGGCGCGAGGTTCCAAGGGGGGTCTGGGGACATGCTCCCCCGGAAATTCTGAAAAATGACCTTCTGAAATGGCATTTCCTGCGTTTTTGAGAGGATTTGAAAGAAAAAAATCAGAGATAACTTTTATTCAATGATACATTGAGCAGTTTTTCTACGATTCCAGTCCCGCTAGTGATACGACTCAGTCGATCTTTTAAAGAAACATCTTGGACCTTTAGATAAAAAGTAGACCAAAAAGTGGAGCTTTGAGACCTGTGGGGGGCTTCGTCCGAACCTGTAGCGCATGTAAAACGTGTCAGCAGCTTAACTGACCATCTGTGGACAACAAATGAGCTGCTGCCCGCTGTGTTTTCAATTACTGTAGAGTTAAGTGTCTGTTTGGCGCTCGCGTGTGTACATGTATATACATATGTTGAAGTCAAATTACAAGGTTGATTTGTAGAAAGATATATCTTATTCTGATTATAATGAAATGAAATGAAATGATCTTTATTGCATATCCTTGCCCAGACGGGCTAAATGCATACATGCTTTGTCACAGTATAAAATACATGTGGTGCATACATACATAATGTATGTTTGAGTTCTATACTAGGATTCTAAGTACTACATAATTCTTAAAGTTACTGTTTGTCTATAATAGGCATTTGTTAATACTAACCCATTTAGTGTTAGGAATTGTAAAACATACGTATACATTTGGCTGAGTCAAACATTTTCTCAAGTTTGTTATCGGCTGTCAGTTCTTCGTCGCCTCTGGGTGACCTTGATAACACATGATTGCCCAGTTGCGGTCTGATATAGCCTGGGTGCCAGACCCATAGCACACTAGACCCAAAGTATCTCAGTGTGCACTGGACTTGGCCTAGTATGCTATGGGTCTGGCATCCAGGCTAGGCCTGATAGGGAAAACCCGCGTAACCACTTCCATGCACATAGTGCTTCCTTTTACATCGTATATCCTAGAAGGTCATAGGGGAAGACTCCTATAACCTCTTGGTGTATCCAAACTGTACTCAACCCAGCTAACGCGAGGAGTTTTGGGGTCAGATGGACATCTGAATGATTGGATTTCAATGAAAAATTTAGCTGTTTCTTATACTTGTATGTCATAGCGTGTGATCTGTCTTTAAATTTTTTTCGCTAGTACATGTATAGTTTACTACGGCGAAAGCTCAGGCTGCCTACATTTGCGATCAAAATGTTGCTTTTTGCGCGTTTTGAATGTTTTGCCCCTCAAAAACGCGACGGAGGAAGACTTGAGATGTAAGACGGAATGGGTGGATGATTCCCTAGATGATAGCCGACTGTTGGTTAGTGGTTAGTGAAGTAGTCCGGAAACGTCCTTGACTTCTTAAATCCGTGTGGCCCTGAGGTGTCGTCCTTGTTCCGTCTGATGCCTTGGCCTGTCAGCACACTGAGTAACTCGTCTGTGCGCGGCTCTGATCTTCCAGAAGACTGAAAAAGAAAATACACATGAAGAGTGTACGTCTATATACACACTGGGTATTATGTACATAACACAACTTTGAAATAGATGCATGGTGTTTACGTTAGATACAAACAATTACAGAATTTGAGCTTACCGTCTGTTAACCTTTGCCTTGTTTTTGAACGATTGAAGGTCATGATACTTCCCTCCCTTTGTTCCTTCCTTCGTTCCTTGCTTTCTTCCCTCCTTTCTAGTTCCTTTCCTCCTTTGTTTCTTCTTACCCATCACGATCAGTTGTCAGTCTACGTTTTCAATCTCATGGCCATCAATCAAATCATGGTTTCCTCCCTTCTTTCGTTTGTTTCCTTCTTTTTTTCCGTTCTTCCTTATCTCCTTCCTTCCTCCCTACCCTAGCCTGGCATGGGTGCCAAACCCATAGCACACTGGACACAAAGTATCTCTCAGTGAGCACTGAGATACTTTGTGTCCAGTGTGCTATGGGATCCTATGGGTCTGGCACCCATACTCTCCAAGCAGAGGCTGTGGGGGAATGATTGTTAGCTTTTTATATACATGTATCTATGGCCGTTTTTTTGGTCGCTACTCCAGTCAGTGGCCGGCGACCTTCTCTGGCTAAAGGATACTGTCTTGCCATCGAAATGGATCTGCTTGGAAGTTGGAGATTAAGGCTACCCCACCCCGTTGTCCCACACTTTTAAGGAATTTCCTATCTTCTACTTGATCACGTCATCGATCTTGTTCTTGCCTTGCTCTAACAACCCCCCCCCCCCAATCCATCACGGGCCAAAACACTACCCTGCAGGAAATTTTTCCACAGTCTGGATTCCAGGCTAGGCATTATTCTGATAAGACCTCAACTACGTCTTATCAGAAACTCTGAGGTCCAGTTTCACCCGAAGGGGCGAATCGATCAGTAGGGAACATGCCGCTTGTTTTCTCTGGGCCTGTGTCCTTCCTTTTGCCATTAGCTTGTGCGTACATCTGGGACCCACTTTTTACACCTGGGAAACAGGTTGTTAGACCGCTGCCACCTTCCACCTGTCGGCCTGTTGGCTTCAGGTCAGCCTGCTCTAAAGCTGCGTTGTTCAGCGAGTGAGAGTGCCCTTCGGCGTAAAGCACAAACTTCCCAGGCACGAAGCAGCGACTGGTTACTTGGTATTAGGCCATGTTGATTTGATTATATGGATGACATCCACACGCGCATGAATTTTCGGCCGTTTCCAAAAAAAAAAGGTTTCAACCATACTGTAAATCGTACAAAACAGTTGCAAAATGAGCAAAAATAAACCATAAGTTACAAAAAAAATTAATAAAAACTATACCAATGTCGTAGAATGCCAAAATCAAACGAAAAAAGATGAAATTGTAAAGAAATGAACTTGAAGACTAGATTATTCGCCAAACCATATTCTGTGCCATTTGCTCAACCCTCATGACCACGTAGATTTCATAATGAAAAGAACTTGTTTTTTTTGCAAAACTTTTTTTTTTATTCCCACGCGCGCATCAGTTTTGGGGCTCCCGGAGGATGTCATCCATATAATCAAATCAACATGGCCTTACCTTCGCCAAGAAGGTTGTGTTTTCAGTAGCGTTTGTCCGTCTGTTTGTTTGTCTGTGAACAGCATATCTCAAGAAGCTTTTTATGCATTGTCATTGTAGGTGGGTGGGTCTTGATGAGACCTAGAAATGATTAGATTTTAAGCTCCCTGGTGGCTTTTGTTGGTACTCAGCAGAACGTACTTCCGGTTTTGATATCTCATGACCTAGACATGCTAGGGTCACGAATTTTGAATCTTGGGCTAGGGAATAATAAGTAACATGAGTTTGGGCCCCCTAGTGGCTTGTTCTGGAACTGCAGGAGCGTTTGTTGAAAAGTGTTTGAAGGAGGATAACTCAAGAGAACAAGGGCTATTGTGGGTGTGCGCAGATAGGGTTTTCTCCAAGTAGATGTTGGGTTACATGTTGTTTTAACGTCCCGTTGTTTTTAAAGTACGAGGTTATGTCAGCAGCTGGTATATTTTTCACAAACTTGACATTCGAAAACTCGGCTTGGACAGAAGGCACGCTTCCGGGCAGGCTAACCTTCAGACTAAACATGGCCTCACATTCAAAACAAAGGAACAACGTATTGGCTCTGGTTTTAATTGGGAAACATAGCTTCACATTATTCAAAACAAGGGAATAGTGAATTTGGCAGTAGCGATTTTGGTTT